CAGCCCCTGTCATTTGCAGAGTCCACGGGGGTACTTCTTGGAGCACCATGTGGACTGCTCTGTCGAGGGCCTGCCTCGTGGCAGCGTGGAGGGCCGTGGGCTCCTTCCAGGAGCTGGGACGAAGGGCTGATTGAACATCTTACACATGGGACCTTCTGAGTCTCAAGTTACAGGCTGCTTGCTTGTCTTTTGGTGGGACAGACAAGGTCCCAAGAAGGGCCTGCTGTCACCGCTGGAATTTTAAGTTCTCTGGATGGAGCTGACCTGAGGGACTATCCCTGGATCCAGCCATGATGGGCAGTTTGGTGGGACCTCCGTAGGTTTGCATTCAGACCACCTTTATGGAGCCCTGAGGAGGGGCTGTCCCTGCAGGGGTGCTCCCCTACCTGTGTGTCTGCCTGCTGTGTGCTGGGGAATGTCCTGTCCGTTTGCCATGTGGATCGCCAGCTTCCTCTTTGATGTTGTCCACTCTAAGAGTGTTATGGAGACGATTATTAAAATGCTTAGCTGTGATTAAGGTTCTTATAAATCATGAAAAGCCATTTTCTAACTTCCTCATTCTGTCCTTTTCATAGTAGCCTGTCTGGACTCCCCTGGAGAGTTCTTACTGGAACTTCTAGAATTTCTCTCTTGTCCCCTGAAGGACAATCTATTATCCCCAGAGGTCAGTTCAAGGTGGAAGTTGCCCTGTTGATCTTGGTCCTTCTCTTCTGCCGCCTGACTTTTACTTTTCTGATTATTAATATATGTTTAAGAATCCCTAGCTCTCAGTTCACGCTTCGGAAGAAAGAGCAGGGCTGTTGGTACAGGAGGCTGAGCTGTGTCCCCTGACTGTAGGGAAGGCACAGTGCTAAGAACTGGGCACTACACCAGGTGGCTTACCCTGCAGGCAGTTTGCTTGATGGTACCAAGGGCAGCTTGGTTGATTGTCCCCTGCAGCTCCCTGTCCCGAGTTGTCTCATCCAGTGGCTCATGTCGGAACTGGCTGTTGGGGTTCAGATGGCATGTTCTTGTGTCAGCACATGGGCTGGAGCACGTGCAGGCAGGGTGTTTGACCAGAAGTTCAGAGGTCATCACACTTATGCGTTGCTCAGTATTGGAGCGCCAGAAACAGCAGCTCCTAGGGGCCAGGCAGTCTGAAACAGGCAGAGGTGCCTGGCCAGTCCCTGTCCCCAGCATGAAAAGGGATGACTGGTTGTGACTTTACAACTCCCAGAGTAATTTCACACCAGTTATCACCTCGATATCCTGCCTTAGAAGTGGACAGTGGCTCTGTGGGGACAGCTGCCGAGTTCCCAGAGCTCAGTGTCCACTCAGTGTCATGCTGCCTGCCCCAGTTCATCTTGAAATACACGTTCTCTGTTTTCTGGCACTGATAAACAGACTTCAGAAACATCCAGTTCTGCAAGGCGCTGGAAAACAGCTTGAGCCCCAGCACGTCCACGGGCCTGGTGGTCAGGGCTGGCCCAGCCCCTGGAAGGATGAAGGGAGCAAAAGCAGAAAGTACCCTGGCCCGTTGTGCTCCTTTGGAGGTCCTTGACCTGCCAGGCACTTGCAACACCCCCCGCCCGCCTGAGTCTTCAGCCTAGACTCATTTTTATGGCTAAGGATGTTTACGTGGAAAACAGAGTCCCCAGTCATGTTGGCGGCAGCCTGGGGCCGCTGTGGACAGCAGGACTGAGCAGAGGCCTTGTGTCTCTGTCTCCGGACGAGCAGGCCTGGTGGCGGCTGCATGTGCAGTCTTGTGCTGAGGTGGACAGTGTGGAGAGTGACAGCTGGCACTGAGTCCTGGCCTCCCATCTGTGAGCTGATGGGCCCAGCCTGCTGCTCTGAGTCATTCCTGTGAAAACAAGTGCAGTTGGAGCTGCTGTTGTGGCTCCCGGGTCATGCTGCTGCCAGGGATGCCAGCATCCTGTATCAGAACCAGTTGGAGTCCTGGCTGCTCCGTTTCTGATCTAGCCTTGTTGGGTGTGATTCATGAGTCGTCAGTGAACACCTGTGCAGTGCCATCAGCCGGCACTTCCGGTTCCTTCCTTGATGGCCTTGGTCTCTGTGGAGTCAAGTGTGGCTCTTGTGGGATATAGCCACCTGAGGGGGGTACACATGTGTGAGAGTCCACACACATCAGTGGGGAGAGGGTCAGCGTCAGCCTGCATTTGAGGGGCCTTTTGTTCCAGAAGATTCCTTCCTCTTAGAGAGAGGCTGCATCCTGCTCCCCCTCCTTTTCCTTTACCTTAGAGCTATTTATCTGTAGCTCTAGGTCCCACTATCACGTGTGGCCCCAGCTCAGCCCAGTCCTGGTAACTGGCCACCAAAAGGCAGGACTGGGCTGCTGGGCTTCTGGGCTCTGGACAAGCCTGCCTCCCTTCCTCCCACCTTCCCTCCCTCCTTCCATTCCTCCCTCCCTCCTTCCCTCCCTCCCTCCTTTCATTCCTTTCTCTGCCATACTTGCTCTTCTGAGCCCTCAATGGGGATCATGAGTGGTTTTCGTTTTTCTAAGTTGTGTGAATGCATTAAAAGAACGTCCAAATTGATTGGAACCTAATACCTTAACGTGAAGTCCTGCCGTTTTTCTTATCTTGCGTAAAAATATGAAGCAGAAATCCTGAGGTTTGATTTTTTTTTTTGGCCGCCAAGCATATATTATGGACTTAAGTGTTAATTATAGTGTTGAAAGGGCACTCTATTTATTTGACAAAATCTAATATTTGTGCCTTTTTAAATTTTCCCATTATCCTGATGCAGTTGTTTTTAAATTTTATTTAAAGCAAATTGAAATCCAGTTCAAAGATTGTTTGCATCCCAGCACTAGCTCAGTTCTTTATTTAATTGAATTTATTTTGCAAAGTAGACAGGAAGAGGCACAGAGGTCTTTTGTGCTGCTTCATTCCCCTGATGCCCACAGTGCTCAGGCAGGACCACATCAAAGCCAGGAGCCGGAAAGTCGACTTTGGGTCCCCGTGTGAGCGGCAGGAGCTCTTGGACCATCAGCACTGCCTCCCAGGGAGTGGAATCAGAAGTCAAGGCAGTGCCCAGCATGATAGCCTAGTGACTAAAGCGCTTGCCTTGTGCTTGCTGGGCTCCTGTATGGGGACTGGTTCTAATCCCGGTAGTACCGCTTCCCATCCAGCTCCCTGCTTATGACCTGGGAAAACCTGCACCTGTGTGGGAGGACCCGGAAGAGGCTCCTGGCTCCTGGGTTTGGATCAGTACAGCTCTGGTCGCTGCAGTCTCTTGCACTTGAACCAGCAGACGGATCTTCCTCTCTGTAGTTTCTCCTTTCTGTATATCTAACTTTCCAGTAAAGATAAAATAGATCTTTAAATTAAAAAAAAAAAAGTCAAGGCAGACATTTGACCACTGCCATTAACTCACTTCTTGAATGTTCAGTAGTTAACGGGCTGAAGGAGTAAGATCACCAAGTCCAGCTGACAGAGCCAAACGGCAGCTCTCTCTCTGTCATTTGGCACAGTTGGCCAAGGACCATGGGGTCCATGAGCCACAGGATACCCCCATCCCCCCTGACCACTGCTGAGCCTGGGTGTTACCAATGTGACTCGGGGCCACAGGGACTCAGGAGTCGTGACTGCTGCTTGGGCCGTTGAAGTCGGTGGCACTGTCCTTGCTGGGGTGCCCTGGTGATAAGAGCCTGCTGTCCAAGTGTGTATCTGACTGGCACTCTTGGCTCTAATCTCTTCTGTCCTTGGTACCTGTTGTGCATGGCACTGTGCTTGCCTTGGGAAGCTGATGGGCCCTGTGGAAGTCCTTTGTTGCAAACAGACTTCAGGACACCCAGTATATTTAAACCTGAGAACAATTTTACATGAGATCTTGGTGGAATGAAGAACACGGTCTCAAGGAGCAGTGGCAATGACGTCAGAGGCTCACGTCCACCATTCATCACAGACCATCGGCTGCCTCCACGGGGAGGCAGACGCACATGACAGCAGTGTGACCATGGCGATGATACAGCTGTGATGGCGCCATTCATCAGGGTCACAGTGCACACTGTGCCCCAGGTGGCATTCTAGGTCCTAAGAGTCTTGCCAGGTCTCATAGGCAGGCAGGGGTCCCAAGGGGGGTGGGCACCTTGCCCACACTGCCCAGCTAGCAGGTGACATGAGTGGGAGTGAAGCCTGGACAGCCACCCCTGGAGCTGCCCTGCCGGCTGGGGTGCAGACTGTGCTGCTGCGAGCCTTGGGGACCAGCATGAACCATATGCAGAACCTTAAATAGGTCTGGCCCCTCTGGGTGCTCACATGTGCCTACCGCTCTGTGCCACCCCTGCCCCTGACTTGGATCTCAGGGCTCCGGAAGCATGACCTGAGCACAGGGCGAGATAAGCAGAGTGACACGGCCATTCACATCCAGGCTGCGGTGTGAGTGAGCTGAGAGCCCTCCCGCTTCTTCCTCTGGCACAGGCAGCTCTCACCCAGCTCCCGTTGTCCGGCTTGGTGGCCATTGCCTCTGTGACTCAGACCATTCAGCTAGTCTGTTGTTGCTTTTTCTGGTCACGCTTCACAGTGTCCTAACAAAGTCATCTGAATTTGGGATATCGGTAACCGATATGAATCAGCCAACGAGGGGTTTGGTGAGATAGTGCCCAGCTAGCTGGAAGGTAGAGGAAGGCTCTTGAACAACCTACAGTCACCAGGTCTCAAGGGCAGGATTATTTGCATTGACATTTTATCCCGCTCTTAATCCCGCCAGGCGGGTGGGATGGGCTGGCTGGGACCTGCCTGCATCTGCATGCTCTCTCTCAGTCTCCATCCCTTTCCCCTGGGAGGGAGGCAGATTACTGAGGCTGCCACACACTGACTGCTCTTCAGAAGACTCCCTGAGCTGTGCATGATGCTGCTGGGGTTCATCAGTGCCCAGCATTGGTTGGGCTTGTGACCTGCTTCCTCCCAGGGGAAGGCAGTGATGGAAAGGCAGCTGTGTTGGGGGAATGGCTGGCTGGCGTTAACCCACTCTCTTCCTCGTGTGCCTTTCTGTCACAGGTTTGCAGATTGTGAGTGTCCGATCCTGAAGCGTTCTCAGCTGCTCCTTCGCCTTGGAAGACATGTCTGTCACTTACGATGACTCCATTGGAGTTGAAGTGTCCAGCGACAGCTTCTGGGAGGTAACGCCCTGCAGCCTCCCCGGCTCGGTGCCTGGCCCCTGGATGTTTGCAGGGTGCAGCCAGGTGCATGGGCATTGGAGAAGCTGTTCAGCCAGCTCACATGTGCCACAGCCATCACGAGGGCAGGAGCCCACCTGGCCACTGGCCAAGGCTGGGGTGTTGATTCAAGTTCTTGTTAGTCTGTCTGTTTCAGATCTTCTGTGTTTAGGAACGGTGCACATCCTGTCATTCCTGGGCACGGCCCAGGGGGCAGCTTCCCTTGTGAGCTCAGTGTGTAAACGTGGACGGCCAGCGTGGCCATCACACCCACCCCCTGCCCCCTGATTGTACCTCCTGCAAACTCCCTGTCCATCCTGAGTAGGCAGTGTTATGGGCGTCTTCGGTTTGTTAGAGACAGAGAGAGGCTAACTCTACCTCCAATGCCTACAGTGGCCAAGGCTGGCCAGGGCTACAACCAGAAGCTAGGGACATGACCAGTTCTCCTGGGAGAACGGCCAGGGTCCAGCCTCCTGGGCCGTCGCCATTACCTCCCCGGCTCTGCCTCAGCAGGAAGCTGGAGTTACGAGCTGGAGCCAGGAATTGAACCCAGGAACTGATGTCATCAGTGTCTTAAGGCCAAGCACTGCTTAGGTCTACTTAGTTTTCTGCCTTTCAGTTAGAGCAAAGTCAAATCACTGTTATCCTTAAGATCTATTTTTATTTGAAATCCAAAGTTAGAGAGAGGGATAGAAAGAGATAAGGAAAAAGATTGTCCATCCACTGCTTTACTCCCCAAATGGCTGCAGCTGTCAGGGCTAGGCCAGACTGAAGCTGAGCGCCAGGGACCTCATTCTCGCCTCTCATGTGCATGCAGACACCAAAGCACTTGTACTAACACTACTTTCCCAGCTGCATTAGCAGGGCACTGGATCAGAAGCAGAGCAGCTGGGACTTAAGCCACTGCTCATGTGGGATGTTGGAGCCACAGGCAGAAGCTTACTGTGCTGTGCCACCAATGCCAGCCGCATAAAGTGAAGTCAGCTTCTGCCTCAGGTTTTGTCACCATGGCAAAACCCTTAAAGATTTTTTGGCAGTTGTGGGCTGCATAGAAAGAGCCTTTAGTGCTGACTCTTGGCAGATCATCCATCTGCCTGAGTCTCAGGTGGTTACCTGTAATTATTGACAGATGAGTAACTTTCCTGGAGGAACCAGCTGCTGGCAGGGTCCTGGTGTTCACCAGGGTGCCTAAGCTGGGTGTGTGTCTGAATCAAGTTCCAACTGATGGTACCATTCATATGGACAACTTATTATAACTACCAGGTTTTTTCAAAGATGGCCTGGGAAAGCAGTTGAGGATGGCCCAGAGCCTTGGGATCCTGCACTTGCTTGGGAGACCAAGAGGAGGCTCTTGGCTCCTGGCTTTGGATTGGCAGAGCTGTTTCTGTTGCTGCCACTTGGGGAGTGAATCATTGAAAGAGGATCTTCCTCTCTGTCTCTCTTCCTCTCTGTATATCTGACTTTCCAATAAAAAATAAGTCTTTAAAAAAAAAAAAAAAGGCCAGGAAGCTCAAAATGCTTCCAGCCCTTTTCTGTTCATGTATTGGGTTAAGAGCCATCACTGACTCCATGTGTTAAGGTTTGTATCTGTTGAGCACCAGCTGTGTGCAGGGTCCTATGAGAATGACATGGGATGCAATGGACCGAGTCCTTGGCTCTCGAGCTGCTCCTGGGGCGGCAGACCGAAGAGGCACCCAGGGAGCAGCTGCACTCCACCCCTGCCCTTCTGACGGCAGCCATCGTGTGTGGTGCCAGCCAAAGCTCGGGGCTCAGCGTCCAGAGAGGCACACCTACACTGGAACTCTGTCCCCCAGGGCAGCAGAAATGGCAGGAGCTGCAGACAGACATGCGACCGGCTGCCCTGCAGCAGGCTGGGACGAAACCAGAGGAAGCCTCATCCAAACTGGTAGTTATGAGGAGTCGTTCAGAGTGCCCTGGAACAGTGTTACTCCTGCCCGCCCCTCAGCCCCTAGCCACTTGTGCAGGCGCATGTACAGGCTGTAACCACTGTGGTGCAGAAGCCCTCAGGGAGCTAGTGGTGGCAGTGCAGAGCTGGCCTGTGGGCTCCTGGGATGCCGACCTGTACAAAAGTGGTTCATCTTAACGCTGGATCCCCATGGCAGATAGGAACCCTTGGAGCTTTGGTGCCTTTTTGTGAACTGTGGTGACATTGTTAAACTGGTATTGAGCAGTAGCTTCCTTACCTCAGTGGTGGCAGATAGGGCCTTGTGGCTGACAGGCCTGAAGATGCCATGGAGCAGGTGAAGACGTGGCTTAGGAACCAGGGGACCTTGGGTCATGCCTGCCCTTATTAGTTACCGCCCATGTGGGGCTCAGGACCAGACTTTGCCTCAGTTTCCCAACTGTAAGACTGAGGTAACAAGCATGCCTGTACCTGGTGTGGTAAGGATCGAGGGATGAATACAGGCAGGTGGCATGGGGTCAGGACAGGCCTGGCCGCAGGACCCTGCAGTGCCCTTGGCGGTGTTGTCGTCACCCCATTTAGTTGCTGAAACTGCTGGGGCTTTTTTGTAGCTGGATAGAGTGATACCACAGGAACTTTCATCTGCGCATTGTAAGTCTTAGGTGAACATTGCTGTGTGTATTGTCAGCACATAATGAAGAAGGAGCCATAGCAGGTGTGGCTGTTTAGTTAACAAACTCGTGCGCCCCGAAGAGTTCTCAGCTGCCATGCTGTCAGGAGTGGGCTGACTGCTGGCACTCTCTGTGGGGACTTGCTGGTTGGAGGAGAAGCTGCGAGGCCCTGCTGGGCCCAGAGCTCAGGTGTGCACTGCCAGCTGGATGTCTCTGCAGGCGCCAACAGGGCCTCTTCCAGAGAGGCAGCTTTCCTGAGCAAGCCTTTTGGTCTAGAGCTGGAAACCTGCGTGGTATGTTACCCCCAGCTCCTGTGCCCTCAGGGGAGGGGCATAGGTCTGCCCTCTGGTGCCTTTGGCTAACATTAGGAGAGAAGGCAGGTGTTAGGCAGTTTGTGGTGCCTGGGGCTGTAAGACCTGCTGCGCCCTGGGGAGGAGACAGGGCGGGGTGGCACTTACTAAGCACTCAGGCATTTGCAGGTGAGTGAATAAGCAAGCACGTGCAGGGGATGACCCTCAGGGACAGTGCTGGAAGGGACCCAATGGCTATTGGAGAGGGCGTATCCTGCACTACCCACTAAGAGATTTAGAAAAAAGGGAAGGCGAAGGGCTATGGTTTCTGCGAGGGACATGCTTAAAACTAGGAGAAGAGGTGTGTGGGGCAGAAGTGTCAGAGCCACACGAGAACCCCACGGTGCAGGGCAGGAAGGGCTGCTGGCCAGAGTTGGCACGGGGCCTGTGGGTGGTGGGAAGAGCCGGGCCTTGCGTTGAGAGCAGGAGAAAGGACCGTGTTCTAAGTTAGAGCAGAGTCTGGAGCTAAGGGGACAGGCCCACACAGAGGGCCAAGGCCCCAACCTCCCGGGGGCCAGGGGCCTGTTCCAGAAGGAGGTAGGAGGCTGTGCTGGCTGGAGTGGCAGGGCACATGGAAGCTGGCTCTCCACGGAGGCTATTCCTGGGGCAGCTGGAACCTGAAACAGCCTCCCCAAGGAGGCTCCATGGAGCGAGGGGCAGGTGAGACACATCAGTCTCCCTGCAGGAGCCTGGGCACCCTGTCCCTGGGGTTCCACGCCTGAGCCTGGAGCATCTCTTTGGCTTTCCAGCTGAAGGCTTTTCTAGTGTCGCCGGAACTTCCTAGGATAGCCTCAGTGGGCTCTGGAACACCCCACTGCCCACATCTCCAGGGGTTCCCTGGTGGTGGGGACAAACTTCACCTACACCTGGGGCCAGGGCCTGCCTCATCCCAGGTTGGCCACTGGCATTCCTACACTGCCGTCAGCTGCATGCACGGTTAGGGCCCAGGTCTCCCTGGCTGCTTGCTGTGCTGATCCTGTGTGGCTGACTCTCAGGCAGAGCTGATTTTTCGAATTCAGAACAGGGCTGTGTGGCCTTCAGGTGCTGTGAACACAGATGGAAGTTACGTGAATTGCTGCCAGACATTGAAGTTTAAACAGAAAGCTCCCATCTGCGCAGCACTGGGATTTGTTTGATGGGGATAACAGGCTTCTTCCAAGCGGCCTCTTTCCTGGCTCAGCCTGAGTGGCTGAGTGGGTCCCAGCAGCGTCACTGTACACGTGCCCACCTCCTGCAGCTCTGTGTGGAGTGCTGCTCGTGGGGGACAGTGGAGGTGACTGCATTGGCTCCTCCAGTAGGCTGTGGCTCCCACCGAGTGCTGGGGCTTCGCTCAGCGTTTACCTTGGCAGAACCAGACGCTCCAGGGTTTGTGTCATCAGGAGATGTCATGCTCAGCTGCACTTTTGTTTTCTCATCTGATGTCAGCAATGCCCAGGTAACAAAGTAGCCCTCCCAGGCTGCCAGGGTAAACAACCCGGGCCCAAGATTCTCTGCCAGCTTGCTAGGCTGCAGGGAGGAGGTGAGGCTCTCCAGCTGGTGCACTCCGGCACTTTCAGTACTGATGGGAGTGCTTGCCATCTCTGCAGTTACTGCCTAACGACGGGCCACAAGATGACTTCTTAACCTCTGTGGAAAGGACCAGTGGTCCTTGTCCTTGTCTCCTCCACTACATGCACCATTTGGGATTTCCTCTGTGAGGCCAGAAGCATGGGGAAGAGTAAAGACACAATCTTTGTCCCTAGAGCCCGCTGTTTTCTGCATGTAGGTGTGTGACAGTAGACAACCACACAGGGTCACACGTCAGGGATGGCCCTCCTGGGAAGGCACTGCACACACTTTGGGCCTCGTAGCACCCTCCCTCTCACTTCCTGCAGGCAGCACGGGCCAGTGCTCCTTCTTAGGATGTGTTACCATCTGACCATCAGTCCATGTGGGTGGGCATCAGGCTGGTTCACCAACATATCCCTGTGATGTCAGAAGCTGGACATCCTGGGTGCTTCAGAGAGTGGCACTGACAGA